AGTGCTTTCCTTTCAATGATCCTCTGCTTCTGGCTTGCGTTTGATGTGAGAGTTATTTGTGAAGAACTGCTGTGCAGTCTAGATTCAAACTGTTATATTTGTGTACGGTGATTTTTCCCCCTGCTGTCCTATTCCATTTAACAAGGCAGTGCCTTGTCTTTTAGATTTACAGGATAAAGGTGTGATGAGAGCAGACAAGTTCAACATACCAGAAGAGTCCACAAGTGAAGGAACAGAGATCAAAATTATCAGAAATGAGACTTTATTACTCTGACAGCCCAAGGAAAATTTGCAGTTGTTTTGCTGTTGATGTGTAGGCAGTAGACCAGACAAGGAAACTCCATTTGCATTGTCCAAAGGAAGGACACAAACCCAATGGATGAAGCTTTCTGTCATTGTGCAGTGACTGAGTTCCTAAATTGAGGAGGTCAGCAAGATCCTCTCAGCCTTTTTTTTTTTTCCATTCCCCAGGCAAACCACGCTATGAGTATTGTGATAAGCTCAGTAAAAGGGGCATTCACATTGTTCAAGGTGAAATTACCAACGTCATCATTATTTTCTCTTTTCTGCCTTCCTTGTTATGTTGCTTCACCATTAATCCTCTTCCCAAATCTTTCAAAAGCAGACTGGAGCATGTCACATCGGGCATTGTGTGGTGCACGGAGTGTCTGAGCAGAATTCACCACTCTCTGCTTCATTATGACTAGCATTTTATCTCAAGATTCCTACTGTGAGCATCCTTTCTGGCCCTCCAAAAGTAATCAGAAGGGTTTGTCCACCCCCATCAGACCTGCATGGAGGGAAATAACAGCATTAGAGGTCAATTATGGGGGGAAAGAGGAATGGAATCAAAAAGTGCTGGTTTCATTAGAGTCTTCTAGTAAAAAGAGAAAAGCTACTATCTAAAATTGTTAATACTGAAATAGACAAAGAATGATGCCATACATCAAACGATCTTGCTTACAACTACATAGGAACAATGCTGCTAATAAAACAAACCTGAATTAAACTGTTTTATGGGTTATTCAGATAAAAAGGCCAGATTCACTGAAGCTTAAAAAAGGAAGACAGAGTAAAAGGCTTTTTTCTAAGAAAAGGAGATTGAGAATGATGCCTTACTTGTCTTTGCAAGACAGCAGAGCAATGACTTGATACGGCAAGTGTTTCATCTGGAACAGAACTTTTTCAGAAAGGCAAAATCTTTTAATTGCATTGTAGAGTCTATCTAATGAAGAGCAGGAAAGTTTAAGAGACTGTGTCCACAGTAAAATGTAACTTACAGAAAGAAAAATTATGAAAGGGATTTAAAGAGATAAAAAAAAAAATAAATTGGTCTCTATTCAGGCTACTATTCTCAAAACTGAAGGCTCATAATTCTTTCTTCCTTCAAATTAATTACCATGCAGATTAATTTAAATTGTGCTGCTTAGCTATTAGCAACAGTGTGATGGACCCCTATGTGCCACAGAGGGACCAGTGGAGCTCTCTTTGGTCCTGCCTCAAGCTTTTCCTTGTGCAATGCTATCAGTTATTGTGAGCTATAATCATTTGCACCCATCAACACTTGAAGTTCATCTTGGTCTCTGCTCTGGGTAGATTACAAAGAGTTAAATTTTCTGAAGAAAAACATTGAGATTATTAAAACACTTTCTTACAGAGATTATTCAAAAAAAAATGAGACCTATTGTACAATATAAGGATTAATTTATTAATCAGAGCTTTCTGAACTCTCACATTAAGCAGCTTTGTTATGCTAATTCCCTTATAAATGAATAATGGACTTATTCTCCCATTATTGCCTATCATTTTAAAAGACCCATTTAGAAAATGAAGATGTCCTTTTCACTTGAAAATTATTATGTATTTTATAGCACAAGTTTTTTAAATTGAATATTTGCTCCCTATACCCTTCTGTTCCCCACCCTGCCCTGCTTGTACTCCTCAGTCAATGTTCAAATCAAACACAGCCATAACCATTTGTCACAGAGATACATAGTGTGTGGAAAGAAAGCATAATGGAGACAATGGGCTTTGAGAACAGAGGCCCAGATCTACAAAGCTATTTACCTCTGACAAATTTAGATGTAGCCTTAGTTCCTAGACATTTTAAATAAAATTCTGTTGTGAATAATGGCATAAAAGAAGAAAGCCAAGATGGTGCAACTGTAGAAAGCCAGAAAGTTAAGTCATAACATAGGATTTATGTTGAAAAGAAAAAATATCTTTAGTAGAAGTGCTTCATTTTGCTGCACATTTTCCACATGTCTTGGAGAGTTCATCTGCTCTTGACTGCGTATATATGCACTGTCAGTCAAGTTCAAACCCATGAAGCAATTAAATTTACATTGTCAGGTCTCTTACAATGGAGTTCTAGTGCTTTCTGGGGAAAGGTCCTGGCTAGATTTCTGCTTTGATATGTGTTTTCACTTGTGCTCTATGCAGGAATCAGAGGGAGAAGAGGGAGGGAACAAAGTGAAAGGGGTTTGAACACACTGCAAGCAGCTGGCAAATAGACCCCATGACATTATTGTGTCCTAAGCACACAAGATATATTCCTTTTGGGGCAATCAGCATCCTTGGCTAAGGAGCACAAAGTCCCTTGGTCCCAGGACATGGCTAATAACTTCTAGAGGAAAAAACCTCGGCACTTGCCATTTGCTACATCCCAGAATAGCCTAGCCCATTCATCTTTTCCTTCCACTCTTACGGACAAATCACAGCTTTAGGCAAAAATGGCCTGAGCTCCCAAAGATTCTATGGCACCACCTGTGGCAAAGGCAGAACAGATTTTTTTTGTAGGCTAAAATGAGGCTGAGTTCAGGCTGCCTGTACTGCAAGTACCAGTAATTGCATTTCCTCTGGAATTGGCAACTCAGGAAACTATTATCAGTTACATGTGGCCAAAAAGCCCCATGGATGAAATCAGGAGATTTGGCTTCCTTAGGCTGATTTTGGAGCACAAAGAACTCTGTAAGAATGGACATTTTCTTGTATATTTTCTACCTCCAAAACATAAATAACATTTTTCTCCCCATTCCCCATCAGGGCTGTAAACTCTTATGGAGCAGAGGTACTTGTGCTCCTTTCCAACACAAGAATGGCTTGTGTTGGAAAGGACCTTAAAGATCATCTTGTTCCAATCCCCTTGCCATGGGCAGAGGCACCTTCCACTAGTCATCCAATTTGGTCTCAAAGAATTCTTCTGGACAACCTGTTCCAGGGCTTTACCACCCTCACAATTAAGAATTTCTTCCAAATATCCATTCTAAACCTAATTTCTTTCAGTTTGTAGCCATTCCCCTTTGTCCTGTCACTAAATGCTTTTGTAAATGGCTTCTGTCCATCTTCCTCGTAGGCTCTCTTCAGCTACTGGGAGGATGCAATTAGGTCACCCCAAAGCCTTCTCTCCCCTAGGGTGAACTGTGCAAATCCTTCCAGGCTTTTCTCTTGGGAGAGGTGCTTCATCCCTCTAATCATCTTGCTCTTCCTCTGTACTTGCTCCAACAGGTCAATTCCAATGGGGACCCCAAGTGCTGGAAGCAGCTCTGCAGCTTGGGTCTCACCAGGGAGGAGTAAAGGGGCAAAATCCCCTCCCTTACCCTGCCTAGCTTGATTTGGATGCAGCCCAAAACACGTGGATTTTTGGGCTGCAGGAACACATTGCTGGGTCATGCTCAGCTTCTCATCCACCAAGTTCTTCTCAGCTGGGCTGCTCTCAATCCCTTCATCCCCCAGGCTGTGTTGATACTAGGGGTTGCCCCAACAGGCGCAGGGCCTTACATTGTCTTACTAAACCTCATGAAATTCCCCTGTGCCCACTTCTGGAGCTTGTCCAGGTCCCTTACAATAGCATCCCATCCCTCAGATGGTGTCAACAGACCACTCATCTTGGTGTCATCTGCAAAATTGCTGAGGATGACCCTTTCATCTATGTCATTAATGAAGATATTAAATAATACTGGTCCCTATATGAACCCCTGAGGGACACCTCTTGTGACTGATGTCCTTCAGGGCTCTGGGCCATTGACCACTTCACTCTGGATGTAACTGCTAATAAATTCCTTATCAATCTAACAGTCCACCCATCAAATCCAACTCTCTTCAGTTTAGAGAGAAGAATGTTGTGGGGGACTGAGTCAGAGGTTGTATAGAAGTCCAGATAAATGTAATTTGCAGCTTTTTCCTTATCCTCTGATGTAGTCACTCCACTGTAGAAGGCCACAGGGCTGGTCAGGTAGGACTTGCCCTTGATAATATGTGTGCGAGGGCGTACTGAGCTCTGGAATCTGGCTAGCTAGTGAGGGGCGAAGGCTAGCACTCTTGCACATCTAAAGCTAGCTCCTCTCGGCGTCTTGGCTTTGGGCTGAGCTGGGAGGTAGCTTGGATCGGCACGAGTGTGAGACGAATTAGGAGGCGATTAGTTGCTGGAGGTAGGCTGTTGGTTTTATTACAGAAGCACTAACAAAAATGGAGACTACCAGCAAATGGCCTTGAACAGGGGGCCAGACAGGGTTTTAAGGGAAAAAGGGGGGAAAAGGTAGGGAAATTCAGCTAGCTAATAATAATACATATTTTGAGGTCTTAAACATAATTGACATACTTAAATAACTAACTAATATTAAGCAAAGGAGGGGCTCTGGGGCGGCAGCCAACCATAACTCCCAGAGAGAAGAAGGTTCTCGAAACTTGGGAGGAGAAAGGGGGTGATTGACTGAACTCAGGGAGGAAACAACTTTCACTTTTAAGGGAAACTAGGGGAGGAGCAATTACATATCGGCAACTATGAATAGCGGTTACTATAGCAACTTAGCGGTTACTATAGCAACTTAGCTGGCAGGCTAACGGTGGCGGGAAGGAAGGGGGAACGAAACTATTTTACACATAATAGGGGAGAACAATACATAAATTGGGGGAATAACACAAGAAACTTAACAACACACTACAACAAATATGGAGGCTTGAAAAAAAGCCTATTACAAGGTCTCTTCAAACCAACACAGGTGTTCTGATTTTTTGTACCTGTGAAGTCTTATAATTGTGAAGTCATCCAACTTTGAATTGATTGTGGAAGAAATGTGAACAGTTCATTCTCTGTTGGACGTTGCCAAGGTAAGTGAAAACACAAAGCAAGTAGGGATAGCTCAGACAAGAGTACTTGCTGGACCTTGTGATCGTCCCTTGTGATCATATTTCTTGCCCAGAAATACTTACATGCACTTTTTTTCCTTGACCCTGTGGGCACCCATTGTTAAAAGTTTTGTCCACACTCTTCCTACAATATTCCAAGACTGGAAATTTGCTTGCAATCAGCTCTGGTCTCTGCTGAGAAGGCTTTGGGACAGCCACCATAAAATGAAACAGTGGAACAAACTGGGCCACACTAAAAGTAGAAAAAACTTCTATCAGAATTATTTGAAATTAGGGAAACTGACCCTGTATTTTTAAGTCATGGAGCTTTTTAAATGCTGGACGTCTGCTTGGGGACTTGTAACAGGAAGAGAACCAAGCATTTGATTCTTATCAATGACTTGTGAAATCCCCATATTTATCTAAGAATAATCCTAGGCTTCTGATATTCTTGTGTCCTTTCCTAATGTCCTTTTTCACTTTAGCGCTGCTGGTGTCTGCTTTCCTCCATGGAAGTTAAAAATATTCATGTATTTTCCTGCCTGCTGTGCTTCTGAATTTAAAATAAATAAATAAATCTCAATTTTTTTTTTTATAAGCAGATGTTCTTGCTTATAAGTGTCAAATAAAGTACCTATCAATTCACATTTGTGAAATGGAAAAAAAAAAACCAAAATGAAAAAAGAACATAATAAGTAAATGCTATGGTATTGGTGGGTTTGTAAATGGGGGATTTGGATTTGTCAATTTTGTGAGTTCTGAAGGACAATAGAGAGAAGTATTATTTTCCAAACCCCAATATGGTTGCTGTGTCTTTTAAGCCCCCAACATGTGCTTCTAAAGACACAAATAATACTTAATGATCACCTGCAGCGCTGATATTGTGCTTTAAATTACTGAGGATTTTTAAGGGTTTGATGGATGCACTCAATCCCTGTAGTCAAACCAGCAGGAGCTGGTAGAGTCTCCAAAGGAGGCAAAGGCCTGAGTCATAGCTGGGCCCAGAACTCCTCCAGGAAACTCACAGTGGAGCAGGGTGACCCAGTGAGCATCAATGCATATGAGCTTGGGCACAGATCATGCCGTTAACATGTGACTGGTGGGTGTTTTTTCCAAGATTTATTTGTCAAGGAGAAAAGAAATTTTTCAGCCCAAGGAATCTTATGCATGCCTGTGCCATTTTATACAACCTGACATGACAACCCTTTTATCCCAGAAATACAACAGCTAAAGTGAGCTTTTCTTAGGATCTTCTGGCTAGAGGATGTGGTTGCATGGAAGTGGTCTCCTGTTGAGCTGGGATTCCTCCCAGCCTTGTTCCTCATGGCAGATGTACCTTTCTACTAATGTCAGACCTTTGGATGAGTCCAATTTGAGTTCTCTCCAAATTGGAGCTGGATTGCATGCCAGATCCTCTCAGCTGGAGCTGGGATGCCTGTCAAGATCTGAGATTCCTTACCTGAGACTGCAATCCATCCTTGCCCAAGGTAGAGAGACCGTCAAGAACAGCACTTGCTGACAGCATGATAAATCAATGGTAATGAAACCCATGCAGCTAATCTCTTTAGACATAAACCATTGACCAAGTCAGTCCAAGATTGGACTGAGACACAGGCTCCATGAGAAGTCCAAAACTCAAGGAAGTCGCCTCTGAAGCTTATGAGCCAATGGAAGGGTCTCCCTTATCCTTTAGAATCTTCAGTCTACCTGTAAATATTTTTAAATGCATTCTAATTTGATTTTGCTTTGCATGTTTCATCCAAATAATAGAGTGAACCTTGCCATCAAACTTTGTTACAGTGCATTTCTGTATATTAAATGGTATTATTTCTAGAAATCCAATTATATGAAAAGATTTTTTGCTAATAGTTTTGATGGTGGTTATTTAAGCAACCTTAAATTGTTAATTTGTGACATAAAGGAAACAACAGTGAGACCAACATGCGTGAACTAAAACAGAGTTCAAGAGAAGCTGAAGGAGCTTGTAGGTTCTTGGACAGACAATGTAGCCAGTAAGCCTCACATTCTCCTGAACACTAAGACAAAAATACTATATTATGAAGCTAAAGTTTCCTTTTCTTTTCTTGGTAAACTTTAGTTTGCATCTACAATTTTCAGGCGAGATTTATCCCAAGGCCTTTTAATTGTGATTTAGAGGCTATTTCTCTTTTTGTTGTTTTTATTATTTTCCCAGCTTTCAGAAAAATTATAATTCTGCTTGTTTTTTGGCTTAATTTATTCAGTTTTTTAAAAATTTGTTCAATTTAGTCATTATTGTCTTTTCCTCCTGCTCCATGCATTTAAGATGAATATACTTAAGAGCTCTCCAGTCCCACAGAAAAACAGTCTACTGTGACAAGTTGTGTTTAATTTCAGACTATTATATTTTTTATATGAACTTTTCACATCTCTGTTTTTCCATTTCACTATGTGGTATTTCCACCTGCTGGACACATGCCACTGCCAGCATCTCAGAGTTTGACCTCTTTTTGGCTCAAATGACAAGAAGCTTGTTTAAGCTGGTAAAACAAGAAGAAAAAGAAAAACCAAACTTCATTTCTGGATCTACTTAGGGCCACAGAAATTTAACACATATTTAGTAAACAGATTTTAAAAATTGTTTATAACAAATAGATCTGTAAGTACTGACTGCCATATTAAGCTCAAAAGTAGGTATTTTTAAACTGCTAGAGTTATTACGAATATTAGAGATGGATGACCTGTACTTTCTCTGTGCTTTTCTTCATAGTTCATCCCAGTTGGACTTCTCTTCTTGTGATGAAATCATATTATTTTAAAATGACAAGCCAGTGTAATTATCATGTTATGAAAACAGACTGTAGAAAGAAGTGAAATGGGCAAAGAGAGATAAATATTCTGTGTACTTGACTGTTGTCAAAAATGAACAGTTAGTTCTCTTTTTTACCAGGAAAAAAATTAAAATTTTGTTGTACAAGACTTTCCCAGTATGCGAATGGTCTTCCTTAAATAAATGTGCTCATTTTAACTGCTGTTGTAAATCAGAAATACTATTATGTTTTTATTTACTATCTGCTGAGAAACATAAAGATAAATTCCGATTCTGTTGCATCCACTGTATATTTTTCTTAACAAATAATGGTGCACAATCTTTTTGTATCAAAGTATCTTTCATTCTGTGGATGACACTAAAGCACACAGACCTCCAATGTATAGCAATCTTGTAATAATTTGCAACTACAGAACAAAGGTCTGAAGATCTTGAAAACAAAGAGTGTGGCGGGGTGTATGCGGCCAACAGGGCAATGTCGGCTAGCAGAGGGTCAGCGGCCGACACCCAACTGCATAAACTGCCAGCCCCCCTTGGCGTCTATGGGCCTCGGGCTGGGGTGGCTTGGGACTGATCGCACCGCCGAAGGGACGAGTCGAAGGAATAGCACACTCACTGGGGTGAAGGTCGGTTTATTGATGGAACAAGATTGGCCAATCCAAGAACACCAACCAGGGAATGACAAGAAATGGAGGGTGGAACAGGATTATAAAGAGGGGAGGATGTACAGAGGAGGGGTTTGCATGGAGCCAATGGGGAAGGGTGAAGGGAGGAACTTAACATAATTGACATAAAGGGGAAACCAATAGATACAAAGTAAAGGAGGGGCCCCGGGACCACAGCCAACCAGAACCCCCAGAGAGAAGAAGGCTCTGGAAAACTAGGAGGAGTGAGGGGGGGTGATTGACTGGGCCCAGGGAGGAGGAAAAGTTTACTTATAAGGAGGTAAGGGGGAGGAGAAATTATATAACTTGGGTAACTGACACGAACCAAGGGCAGGGGTAACCATAGTAACATAACTGTCAGTAGGGCTACGGCGGGAAAACTGGGGAGGGCAGAACCATTTTACATTGAACAGGGGGGAACAATACATAAAATGGGGGAGTAATACAATAAACTTAATAACACACTACAACAAAAGAGTAAATGCAAATGATCTTATTCATTTATCAGTTATAACATTTAGTAGAATGGAATAATATTTTAGAAAAACTGAGAGATTGGGGGAAAAAAAAGGAAATTAATTTCTAGCAATTGTAATTATCCTCCAAGTAATTTGCTTGTTTTAACTGTTTGTGCAATATATGCAATCTGTCTTTCACCTGTTACTTTACTACCAAATATTATTTTCAACACCAAGGGCAGGTCTAGCCTTCTAGATTTACATATAATTGAAATATTCAGTCACCTTTGTTCATACTTACTCCCTAGGTGCAGATAAGCGAGTAAGAGGGACCTTTGGGTCTACCTTGGCAGGACACAGTTGAAGAGAAATCAGATGGCTTGTGAAAACTTTCTGATTTTCTCAATTTTTCAGCTAAATTAATAGTACTTTGGAACCATTAGTGTCAAAGAAAAGTATTGGATATGACAGTTTAATATGGACATCTGGATTAAATATTAAAACATACATAAGATCAGGATAAAATTTCACTTACTTGTAAAAGAGCCAAGATTTCACCTGGATGCTCATTCTTTGTGGAGGAAAACTGTTGTGGCAATGTGTTTCTTGCTATCCGTCTAATTGATGTGCACAGGTCAAGGAATTTTTTGCATTTTGAATGTAGCAAATGTGAAGAGAGAAGGTTTCTTATAAAAAAATAAGTCAAGGAAAGAGCAGATTTACAAACACAAAGAACAGACAAAATTTAAGATCTGTGCCCTTTTCTGAATCTATTTTCAACTTTGAGCTCCTTAATTTTTTTTTTCTTAAAGTTGTTTAGACATTTTCTTATGGGAAGTACCATTAATTAGATATCACAGTGTTAATTTTAGTCAAATCACATGGGAAAAAATGTACATTGTCAAAAAAAGGTGATTATGCCTTATGCACTCCCTTGTTATTCATTTGTAATTGGTTAATTGGGCAAATGGCCATAATGTAATAAAAAATAATAATGAAATAAAAAATAATAATACTCAGCACATATACTGTAATTTTCATCTTCAATGTGTTATACAAATTAGCTAACTAGTACAACAATCTTACTAATTCCATTTTTTTCCTAAAGAACATACTGATGAAAGGCAGTGTCAACACATAGCTGACTTGCATCAGGCATATGGTCTGTATTGGCGTCAGCTAGGATGAGTAGAAATTGATACAGAGATGTAGTGCAAAACTAGCTGACTAAAAATTAAGTGTGTTACTTTTGGTTTGGTTTTGTTGTTGGTTTTTTTTTCTTCCTTTTTTTCTTTTTTTTATTCAATGTACCTAATAAAAATATCTGGGGAAACAGTTATGAAGCAAGGGCATTAATGTAGTTTATGGAATGGAGCATTCAGACGTGATGCTAGTATTCAGAACAGAAATCACTGGATTTTTAATAATTTTTGAAAACTCAGCTATTTTTGCCTATATCTTTTATACAAACCTTGTCAGTTCTTACTGGGGACTAAATTCTGGTAAGAAGCAGGATGTTGATTTTTCCTTTCATTTGGCAACACAGTTGTAGTTTAACTCCATCTGGGACCTAAACTCTACCCAGCTGCTCACTCAGTCCTCTTGGTGAGATGGAAGAGAGAATAAGAAGGGCAAAAGTGAGAAAACTCATGGGTTGAGGCAAATGCAGCTTAATAAGAAAAGCAAAGCCATCTAAGGAAAAAATAAAACAAAAGGAATTGATTCACTGCCTCCAATGATTAGACAATGTTTAGCCATCACCAGGAAAGCCAGGCTCCATCATCCATAACTATGTCTTGGGAAGACAAACACCATCAGTCCAGTTGTCCATCCTTTTCTCTTTCTTTTTCCAGCTGCATATGCTGGACAAAATGCCATATGGTACCCTTGGGTCAATTGGTATCAGCTGTCCTGGTTGTGTCTCCTCCCAACTCCTTGTGCGCTCTCAGGCTGCTCTCTGGTGAGATGGGGTGAGGAGCAGAAAAGGCCTTGACTCTGTGCAAGCCCTGCTGAGCAATAGGGAAAGCATCTCTGTGTTATCAACAATTAGGTCACAAATCCAAAGCATAGTCCCATATCCTATGGGGCTACTGCGAAGAAAATTGCCCCAACATGAACTGTACAAAGTCTATGAGTTTAGCTTCTTTGTGCGCTCCCTTACGCTGTTCCCTTCAAGCTATTGGAAAGCAAAAAATCACTGTAGTGATCAGAATCGCTGCATCATCAATAACATGGGCAAGATAGACTTGTTCTCACATAAAACCCCTTTTGATGTCAATGAAACACTGAGTGGACCTTAACTGACTGATGCATGCAGAACTGCAGCTATCAACCTAATGCAACTACAAGAACAGAAGAAAATTTAAGGATCAAATTCACCAATAGGTTCTGACTGTTTTGCATTGATACAGCAATAAAAAAGAAGGATGAGGCTGGCTTTGTAATCATCTAGTTAAAACAATTTTATTCACTGAGTCTGAGACCAGATAGGCTTGCTGTGATCATCAAGTTTGACCTTCTGTACTACATATACCTTTGAAGTGACTCCCATATCAAACCTGTCAGAGTTGCTGCTGCACATTTACTAAAGCAGCACATATAGGTCAAAGTGACCCAGATAACTGTGTGAGGTACATGAATAGTAATTTAACTCATTCTGTTCCAATTGTATTTACCCTGCATGCAGCTGTGCAGTGCTAGCAACTGCAGATTCTAAGTTATGACTTTCATGTTTGGTGCTAGTTTGAAACAGTGCTGTCAAAACTAGAACTTATTTTATATATTGGAAGCATGTATCTCTCTTTAGCTTTCTATCTGAGTACAAGACTGGGTTTAGATTAGATACTAAGAAAAAATTGTTTACTGTGTGGGCACTGGAACAGGTTGCCCAGAAAAGCTGTGGCTGCCCCACCCCTGGAAGCATTCAAGGCCAGGATGGATGGATCAGCTTGGTCTAATGAAGGGTGTCCCTGTCCATGGCAAGGGGTTTTGGAACAGGATGATAATTAAGATCCCTTCTAACCCAGAGCATTATGCGATTCTGTGATTGTATAATATTGTGCAAAAGGCATTCATCTCAGTAGTACTTTTTTATTGGTGGAGAAATAGTGGCATCAGAGGATTCACCCTTTTCTGAAAGTCCTGATTTCAAACTCCTGCTAGCAGTGCAGCACTCCAAAGTGGCTAAACACATGAAAATGCTGCTCCTGAAGTGACAACAGCTGTATAAGGTTGTGTCAGCTATTTCCAGTCCTT